ATTGATGATTGTGACATATTATAGACCACGCCGACAAAGACATAGGTTCTAAGCTTCTTTGGATGAATGCTCGATCTTTGTGAAGATATTGAACAAACAATATGATTTAGTTTTGAAGTTCCCTGTAATTCGATATGTCACATGATGGGGTTTGGTTTGAGACTCTGGCCATTTCCCGGGAAAATTTTTAACGTGTACAGGGGTGGCCAATGTGGTCCTAGGCTGTCAATGTAACTACCATGGAAACGACCCGGTTTCACATGTGATTTAAGGTTTTGCTTAATGTGTTAATGTTTAAGTCCAGATTTTTTTAGTAGCCTGGTGGAATCCCGTTTATATCTGATGTAATGTGGATCTTGGATAGATTCTGGAGGTTAACTGCAGGGGGCTGTTACTGAACACGCATTTTAAACCAGCATGAACATGGACTTTAAGTTCAACAGGCTCAACCAAAGTCTTGTACGATGTCCTGACTTTTTACTTGAATGCATGGAGCTACATGGGACGTCATTTAATCATGTGAGCCATATAGATGTGTTAATTAAATATCTAACATTTTCCAAATCATCATGGAGTTCAGATTGTGAGATTCTATAGACTCAACGAGAAATTTTATCATGTTCCGGCTAATTTATTGTTTGCATTCATAGCATGTAGTATTAATGGTTGTAATGACAAAGTATTTTAAACCCTCCAAATTATCCTGAAGCGTAGATATACGATAAATGAGGTCTAGTATGATATCCTGATTTATTATACAAATCCATGTAGCTTCATGGACCTGTATTCGAAAAATATGTTAGGTGCTCACAAGTGCCTCAATTTCATATCAAGAAGCTTTACAGCCACACTGAAGCCGTCACGTTGTATCGATTGTATTATGTCATCATATTTTTTAGAATTAAGACATCATTAAGAACACATTTAAAAAATATGAGACTTTTTCTTGAATATACAGGAATCCCCTGAATAGCAGGTGGGTTGTGCCATCCACTCACCGTAATTTCTCGGTTGTTTTCCAACTAAATGTGCAAATTTTCTGTAGATGACAAGTTTATGGTTTGCCCTACCCGCATGAACGATAACCATAAGGAGTGCCTAACAAACTATTCGGGTTATCATCTCAACAATGTGTGGCACGGTGGCACGATTTGTGGTATCGTTCGTGTATGGTGCTCGTTTATAAGGGTAGTCACTTACATAACATCAGCTCAAGCGAATGGAGAACAGCCGAGACATGTGGATGACGGTAGCACCCACTGCGCTATTCGGGGGAATCCTGTAATCCTGTAATCCTGCTCTACAGCCTCATCGAAGTCTTGTAAGACGTTCCAACGGACCATTCGAGTTTATAGAGCAATGTGAGAACTTATTACATCGTGTATGGCATATTTTTGTCAAGACAGATCACTCAAATTCAAAGGGTTTTCTAATGAATTATCAAGACCCAATCCTCAATATAACTTGAAGACCTCAAATTATGTTGTCATTACAATTACATATGATGTACATGATCTTTTCGACTCTGTTTGCATTAAATAAATAAAAATCAATTATGGTTTAAAGCCCTAACCTAGGAACAATTTTATTTATTCTTAGGGTGGATTACTGGATTTTTTATGAAATTTAATTGTATCAATTCCAGCTCGCTCGTAGTTGTCGACACAACCACAACACAATTGCGAATTTTGTGAAATCGCTGGACGCGGATCTCACTCAGATTATCGCTACATATTGCATAGCGGAGGAAAATTCTATGTTCATCAGCTATGTGCTAGAGGAATACTTACGGTGATGTAATGAGGAGAAATTTCCAGCTGTCTTGGGCCTCGATATACACCAGGCTTGATGAAACTCTTCAAATTCACTAGAGGATTTAAAATACTCTTACCTTGCGAGTTTAGGCAGCCCTCGCAGTGAGTGGCGGCAGGAATATGGAAGAAGTAAATAAAAACTCCCCGAGACTGCGGGGGAGTAAACTAAAGCGAGAGGTTGATTTGACGACACGTGCACTTTTAGAGGTTCCTGATGAGTTTTTTGTTCGAGGCATGAAGCTCAGAGTTCACCCAGGGTCGAAGATCAATCGACGACGACGGCGACAATCAATACGAAACTAACGATTTTAAATTGGCTCACTACTTGACTAGCCTATTGGTCCCAAGCAAATCGATTAACGTACCCCATTCTAGTATAAATTCCAGTACTACACTATATTTGTTTTGATTCGCTATGAACATTTGACAGATAAAATGAGGGGTTCGTGGATTTGCCTATGTTTCGAGGGGTGCATCGATAAGCTTGGGATCGAAGATAGTATCAGAGCTGAGCCAAAATGTTGAGCTCGTTTCTTCGGAACCTTTTGGTCTTAGAGTTACCTCTATGGTACGGCCTCGGGTACGACCTCTCATCAGATGTTCCGGATAGTGATAAAGCATTAGTGCTAGGGGAATACTTATGGTGATGTAATGAGGAGAAATTTCCAGCTGTCTTGGGCCTCGATATGCACACAGGCGTGTGGGGTCTATAGAGATTAGTGATGTTTAACGCACACACACTAACGGAGGTCTATCGCCGTGTAAAGTTGTTTATTATTTTCCTCGGGCTAACCTCAAAACGTATGTAATTCGATTTGTCAAAATGAGTTTGACAGCGGTTTGTTATGTATTTTCCTCGGATGTTCACTACCACAGTTTCACACGGCGCACCAATACAACCAGGCGTGAAAATCTCTATAAATGGATGTAAACAAGGAGATTCCCAACTTGCTGCATTTCCTCAATCGAAAGGGGAACAGAACAATTATTGTATCAAGAGAACAATTCGTCAACGGGGATTTTGACTTGTTGTTAAGCTGAACCAGTTTTGTGGAATAATGAATCTAATTCGTCGTTTATAAAGCATTTACAAAGCATGCGATTAAAACATGAACGCATAGTTGTGTAAGAGCCATTATGCTGACAGTATTCACCTTTATTCAGCAATATTGTAAAGCAATGCAAACAAATCTTATTGTGGAGCTAGAAAATATTTTTTAGACGGAGTTGGTAGGAAATGCTATATGTAACATGAAGCTTTAGTGTGATAATTTATTAGCTAGAGAGGAGGGTCTGAAGAAAGTAGGTAGATAGCTCCGCTGGAGTACGGCAGTACGAAAATTGAATAGAAGTTGAAAATGAGCGAAGGGCTCAACTTCTATTCAATTTTCATACTGCCGTACTCTAGCGGAGCTATCTACCTACTTTCTTCAGGCCCTTCTCTCTAGCTAATAAATTATCACACAAAAGCTTCATGTTATATAGCATTTCCAACCAACTCTGAAAATCGTAAACTTCACGTATGAGGTTACATAAAACACTTTGAATTTATTAGACGTTTAATAAAGCATGCCATTAAATCAATTAAAAACATTCGAATTCAAGTGGCAATGTATACAAATTACACTTATTCCGTTTTTTATTAGATCAAACTTCTGGTATTGAATCGAGAAGACGTTTATAAATCTTTTAATAAGTAAATTAATCAGATCAAAGTAAACGGCGAAATCGATCTCTATGAGCTTTTTACAGCACACAATTTGACAACCCGGATTATTCAGCATTATACGCTGTAATACAGCATTTATTCAATATAGGGGAAATGGCTCCAATGTTGGCCTACACACTTAGAGATTATCACCGACTTCGGTAATTTTGACCGTACTTTCAACAGCTGAACTGTTTTTATTTATTTATTTATTTATTTATTATTTTCTTCATCGAACTTTTGTTGTCTAAATGAAGATTGATGGGGAAAAGCCTATTTGGCAAATATTTGCGCAAATAGGCGTAAAAACCCCATATCTTTTCAAAATACAAGGAACAATATAAAAAGGACAGAAAAACACATCAATTATAAAAATAAACACCGAATAATAATAATAATACTATGGTCTTCATCATAAAAAAAATATCCTCGTCCTATGGCAATTCATAGGTTTTAAGGCTTCAAAACAAGGGAAACTTCACCACAATGGCAAGACTCGTTTATTTAAACAAGGCTGACAGTGTGTTGAAATTCAAATTTAGTGAAAAAGCTTTGGAAATGACGGTCAATGTTTTACCGAACGTTAAAACGCTATTGAAAGTTTGGTAAAAATTACCGAAGTCGGTATTAATTACTAAGTGTGTATGGATCTAAGCTAGGGCCCATCGCTAAAAATCAATTTTATCTAGATGAACGCGTCATTGGGACGGTACTAATGGATATTTTATGTATGGACCCAAATTAGGGGCATTTAGGCCAACATTACATCCATTTCCTCTATACACAGCAAAAAAAAATGTAATATCGATCAACGTAATTCAAGCTGATGTATGAAATAATGATGTAATAGCAAAAAGCAGATACAATATTACATCAATGGATGTAATTTTGTTCGCAAAATCGATGTACATCGTACAATGTGATATTACACAACCGATGGATTGACCTGGTTGCAGCAGTTTCGATGTAATATTCAACAACTTTTTTTGCTGTGTATGCTTATTTGCGGCTCTGCATTGTTTTAGGGAATCGCTCAAACCCCCCGTCTGTGTAGTTTGTGGACAGTCCCTTTTTCGATATTGAATAACCAGACCACCTAGGCATTCTTCAACATTTTTCTGAATTCTCTTGCTGTATGCGGAATTATACTTTTGTTATGCAATTTAAATTAGTAAGACGGGACCGATCTCACTATTGGAGGACAAAATCAGTTTTTTTTCTGTACTGTCATTTTTTTTTATTATAGTGATTTTAACGCTCTTGGGTCATTCGTGACTTGTCCGGGGGTGAGATTTGAACTCGTGACTTTGGCTAACCACTACGCCGGGGTCGCCCCCTGTATCGTCAATGTTAAATTATAGATTCTGTAATAAACCAGGCCATAGGAATTGACAAGTTAACACCCTAATCAATTCCCAAAATTTCGAAAGAAGACGACATAACAAATATAATCACATCTTTATTTCTCTTATCCGCAGCTTCGACGAACAGACAAAATGCTGTCCAAGACGTTTTCGGCACCCACACGCAGCATGAGCATGCAGTGTCTTTCGTCAACCAATGAACAGTTCCTCTCGCAAAAGACAGACCTAATTGCCGAACTGAAGATGTCGAAAGATATCGCCGGTGTGAAAAAGATGAAAGTCGAACGAGCCAAGATGGAGGACAAACAGGCCACGGAGGTATATTCCGAAGTTGCACGACAATTCACCGCCGCAAATTACGTGGACCAGGTAGTGGTTTATAATCAATTATGCACCACATTCTCATGTCCTACGATGTTCACCACAACTAAGAGTTACATTCGGTATTTTCGGTATTGACAGTACATATTTCTGTATTAAAATCAAAATCAAAACCGACCCGTAAACCAGCGTTGTCAGATATCCTGATTAATCAAAATTTTTGTTTCTTGTTTATGATAAAATGAAAAAATAGACCTGATCTTAGAAAATAGCTGCAATTTGATTTTCATACAAAATACTGTCCATACCCAAAATACCGGATGAAACTCTTAATCACAATAAATATTATTCACATTTCATGCACCAAAGCAGCTTTCATTCACCATTTGCAACAATTTTTCTCTTTCTTCCACGTTGCCCCTCTTGCCTTCTGCCCCGTTTTGTGCTTATCATTCAACTGATAAGTTATTACAGGTACCGGACCGTGACCATCAGGGCAATCTTATTCCGGATTGGAAACGCCAAATGCTTGCCAAAAAAGCAGCTGAAAAGGCGAAGAAAGACTTTGACGATAGGCTGGCCCGAGAGGCCGAAGATCGCCGCCTCTCAGCGATACCCAAGTGGAAACGTGACCTGATGGCCCGTAAGGAAGAGGCCGAAAGTAAACTCAAGTATGTGGAAATCATATTGAATCAGGGTCAAAGCATCTGTAATTGTCAATTAATGCTTCTCTCAAATTTCACAGATCCTCGATCTACACTCCTCGGGTGGAGGAAAATCAACGACGCACGGACACGTGGCGCTCACGCATGTCCCAACGAGCCATGTCAATCGATAACATAAGCTACACTTCACAACATGAAGACTCCGTCGGGTCTCGTTTCAACAAAGAGAATAACCATAAAAATCAACAAAACGGAAATAGTAATCACCAGAATGAAAATAGCAATGGTCACCATGCCAATGGAAACAATAACCATAGCAACAATAGCAGCAGCACTAACATCAACGGAAGCGGAAGCAATCATCACAGCACGCGTAGCTCCATGGAGAATATCAACAACAAAAATGATTACTATCACCATAGCTCGAACCAAAATGGTAACGATGACGACGATGAGAGTGAACAGATTATCCCCTGGCGAGCACATCTAAGGAAAACCAATAGTCGCCTTAGCTTGATTGGCTAATCTTGACTTCTAAACTTTGCTAACACCTAGTAGTAGCTTGTTGTATAAAGGTTTATCAATACACTATAAATACATAATATATTTTAGCTTAATACAGTTAAAAAAAAAAAGTTGCGGATATCACCTAATTTTATCTTTCGAAGACACTATTTAATTACTAGAATACTGCTTATCAAACAAACCTACATGAACAGGCGGGCTTAATATGTGAACATAAATCAAAGATTTCGTTGCAATATTATTGTAAGGTTACTGTTTAATCCAAGTAGCGACGAAAGAAAGGAACAATGAGAAGATGTTGATATACGAAACACTGAAAGTATAAAATTGTGAAATGTATAACTCCTCGAAAAAAAAAACAAGAAACTGTAATGTGATTATTCTTATCAATCTCTTAAACAAAACTAACAAATTTAGATCTACTTACTAAGAAATCAAGAAGAAGAAAAACTGCCAATGCAAATTGTCTCGTTAATATGTTTCTTTAGTTTCAATATTGCTTGTATAATCACCCCAAAAATCTGTTAACATCTGCAGTCTGAGCGACCAATAGATACTATTTTTGGACAAGCAGGTACACCATATTCACGAATCGAGATATCATTTAGCAGAAAATTTGTATTACACACACACACAACCTACGCAATATTCATCGTATAAAATTGTAACGGGAAGAAAACGACATTCCATTTTAGAGCTGCATAGGCATAAATTTCATTTTCGTTGAATAGTTATAATAAACGTTTATCAAATTAGGTCAGGGTTTTTTTTTCTTACATCCGAATATATGCCATAGTGCACCCGTTTATTGTCTATTGTTGTTATGTTTACATCAACAGGTTGGTTGTAGTCCCAATAATACAATGATCGTATACAAATAAAAAATAAATTAAAAAATATTTAAACATTGTCATAACAACCAACCAAAATACATTAATCTTATGATCGATTACACCTGCCGGTGAAAAAGGCAAGATACCCTTCTCACGCGTGAGATGAACGTCGAAGAGCGTGGAAACTCTGTTGAACACTCTCCGCAAATCGCACCGTATGCTCCATATTTCGTGTGACGCAGAGGCAGCCTAAGCATAAGGGTCTGTTCACAAATTATGTAACGCAAAAAATGGCAGTTTTACACGAGGATTTACACCCCTTCCCCATGTAATCAAACACAACACATTTACCAATACCCCCTCCTTTTGGTGTAACGCGCAACACAGCAAGAGAAAAGCATACATTGCATTTATAATTGCTATCCTAAATTTTTTGCCTTTTATCGAAGACAACATATCAAAATTGCCAGTCTTCTTGATATGTTGTCTTCGCTTTTATTTAAGATCCCGACCAACCGTTCGTGAAACTTCTTCAAAGTTCTTTACACAGAAATAAAGATTTATGTCACATGGACTTTAGTATTCGTTACAAATATTCATCAATAAATATTTAAATACTGATATCATCGTAACTTTGAACTTTGACAAAGCACAACAAAGATTGCCATCGATGCACATTTATAATCTCCTTGTTATCGATTTGCATCGCTGGTTAAAGAGAGTTCGAAACACACCAGGTGACAGATGGCAATGTTTATATTATTTATCGACATATTCGGCATTTCATCGGAAGAAGCAATCCGAGAAGCAATCTGCCGGTAAATGAACGAGAAGACCGATGGCCGCGACGCAGGAAATGTTTACCATTGTAGTTCTTCAAGTTTACGTCTATATATTTAATAACCCGTGATAGCATGCGTGGTGGGATTCTCGGTATTTGGAACCCAATGAGGAAAATTGATACCTTTTTGACCTCTATTACACCTACATGGCTGACTGGTTGATGATTATGACAAATATTGAATTCATGTATGAAAGATTTACAGAAATTTTAACACACCACACCACATGTGTGTTTGCCTGTCGTTGATAAGCTCATCAACAGCAGCCGTGGACCCGAGGATTAGGAACCAACAACGAAATCAGTACACCCCAGATGGCATGGGATCGAAACTAGAAATTATGCAGATAAAAAATCACAAATAAAATCAGCAGTTGTGTATCGATATTTTGATTTTACAACAGGAATCGATATTTTGATCTGGCAACACAAACGATATTTTAACATTGGTAACGATTGGTAGCAATATTTTGAGAAAGATCTTTATAAACGATTCACTAATAAACTTTTAGCATCTTTACAATTATTCATGAAATGGTGACGATCGCTATCGATTTTCTTATGAATGGATTTGAAGATCGATGTATAGAAAATTAAAGAAAATTAACGAAATGGTTGGTCGGGATACGGCTGGTAAAAAGTAAAGAGCCTAAATTTATAAAGAGGCGACATGTCAAAATTGGAACAATCAATTGTCTGTCAAAGTCGTAGGAAAAGTCATTCCAATCGAACAGAAGACTTGTCAAATGGATAAGATGTCGTCTCTTTATAAATTCAGGCTCTTTAGTAAAAAGTATTATGAAACATCGTAAATATTAACTAACAAGAAAACTGTTTGAAGACACACTTAAAAATACTTAAGAATAATTTCAAGTTAGAAAAGATTCAAGATTGAGAAAACCAAGTCTTGAAACCTTTTCTTGAAAAAAAAATCAGGATAATGGATTTTTTTTATGTATTATGACCTACCTATCGACCCATTAACTCATGAACCGGGGACCACCGGCTTTACTTCCCTTCCGAAGGAGGCGTGATCAGAGATGTTATGCCTCAGAACATCACATCCCGGCAGCACCGACTGGGATTAAACCCAGGCCTGCTGGGGTGGATATGGCTGTCATATCGCTTAAGTTTGCTGCGTACCGAACATCTGCAACGTTGTCAGCGGTACCATAATATGTTTTGTTGTTTTGATGTTGAGTACGTGTATTCAGCTATATGTGAAACCAGACCCCCTTCACTCTTTGGATTTTTTAGAGATAGATAACAGCGCCAAACGGTTTGTGACGAGACAACGTTGAACTGCAGCGTTGGAAGAAAACACGCACACCAACATCTATACATGTAGGAACCCACTCAACTGAGCGGACGGTACAGCGCTTATCAAGCGGTGTCATCACTCGTCGTCTTCATTCAGCTTCGGCTACTTCCGTTTGCGTTTGCTTTCACCGGTGTTGACAAATACTTCCTACGTTATAAAATAGGAAAGTTATGATTATTCCAATGTAATTTTTGAATAGAATGCGTGCTGCGTTGGCCAAAGAAGACGGCATATTTTATTACGCTTAGCAATGATTTCGATACGTTGCATTTCCAGTGACTGGGGTGTTGGAATAATTCTTTAGAGCGAGTGAATGCTTTTCCCATGTTTACTTCTATGCTTATTAAGATTCTTTTGAGCACCAGCTCCGCAAATCATCAATTAGTATTAGAGATTTGCATCTTACTGATACCGGTGGTATATTGGAAACTCTTTCGCTCGAAAGCAAAACAAGCACATCATGATGCGCGCTTGGATGTGTGATTGTTTTATCAAGTATTTCTGTTGCGTATAAAGTGGTAATGATTGAAAATCGGAACAATCACAAAGAAGTAAGAATCTTGCTATCGCAATATAATGATGATGACTTCGAGGATGATATCGTCCTCTTTCCTCGGCTGATCATCAACGTTCGCATTGACATCTATCATGCTGACATCTGTCAGTTATTGAGCCCAGGTGGTGAACAACAGTTTCAATGTGCACTCAACAGATGGCACTGCGATCACATACGGGTGGTAATTATATGCCTTGTATGAGGAATTGATTAGTGGGATATCTTGTTAATTAGATATCTTTGGTGAAACCCGTGTGGTAGAGAACTCTACACTAAAAAATATAAGTAAACAAAGAAAGTTTAAAATTTATTCATTTTATGTATTAACAATGTTTATACATTGATTTGATTAAAATTTATTTTAAAATTATACTAAGTCCGAATAACAGCGAGAAATTTGATAAGGGGTGTATACCGCTGATTTAGTCTTTGACAAGAGTTCAAATATTTAACAACAGAATATCAACATCTTATTTACTGATGTAAGTTCCGAAAAACCATAAGTGAAAAGCGGGATGTGAGCTGAAAAAGTACTCCGGTTTTGTTGTGAATTCGCATCGATAACATCGAAAATTTATAGCTATGACTTGTTACAGATATGCTTGACTATTGGTTCGAAACCAGTTCGATGTCCTTCTTCCAGAACCACAATCCAATTACTGCAGATTTCATGCGAAACAATTTTCATTCGACGAACCTGTTCAATATGCATTTGTTCAAGCATTTGAACTGAACCGGGCTGGTACTGTCTGGTGATAAGCACAAGGAACAATTGCAAAGATTACTTCCCAGATGCAATAGAGGTTGTCCAGAAGTATGGTGCAAATGGTGCACTGGTGGTTCGCGTGAATGATTGCAGGTAAGTAAATATAAATGTTAAATTTAACATATGCATAACTTCGTTCATGGCACGTCCTGTGGTATTCCTTAACGAGAATACCTATGGGTGAATAACTGCTTGCAGTTTTGAAGTTGTAGCGAATTAAATGCTTCCATCATGCTCATCACACGAATGAAATTATTCTCCCCTCTCCAACTTCCCATTTTCAGGGTAGAAGATGTTAAAGACATCATCAAGGACGTCTGCTTACTGTAGTAGAACGCATTCTGATTCTTGATACAGAACATCGGTCACTTTGAGAAGGACGATACACCGTGTGCCTAGCCGAACACATCTCCAACAACGTGATGGACGTTTGGATGATTTGCTTCAAGAAATTCTCACGCCCGGTGATCGTTTTGTTGATGATTTTGTGTAAGTGAACTCGGACCATCTGAACTAAGCAAGCAACGGACCCCTTTATGGTACATAAAAAAGTGAACGCTGGACTATATGATCGTGTCTCGAACGGCCGGTTGCAGCTCAAAGAACTCTGGATCGTAAAAATATAAGCCTTTTAAACCTTTTATCATCAACCATTCACCAGCTTCGATTTTGAAGAAGTAATCCCTCCAGTCATTGGTTTCAACTTCATCAATCGTCCCAGATGCAAGATGATAGCATGCAGCTGCTGGAGGTTCAGGGTGTTGTACTTTAGGGCATCGATGGTAGCAGAACTGCAGTGTGCGTATCAAATCCAGGTTACCGACAGGAGGATTATGTATGATAGTGATTTTTGACTTTTCAGTGGACGGACGCAGTATGAGAACCTCGTCGATTAGCAAAAGTTGGTGCTGGAGTTAATACGGCGGAAAGCGTCAAGCGGTTTTCAATTTAGATGATGTAATTTATTTGTAATTTAATTTTATGTAACTTATGTTAAAAATAAAACTGATGAGCATTTAACAATTGCTTACATTTCAATAACAAATCCAAGAAAGTCGAAAGTACAGCAATAATAGATTTGCCAAATAGAGCCCCATTAAACATCATTCGCATACTTGCACATTATACATTGGATGCATAATCGATTTTTATACTAAGTTCGTATTCTCTCTCTTTATACCTAGCTACACGGCGAATGAGAATAACCCAAATTTGAGTTTAACTCATAATCGCCAAAAGTGCAGGAACTCAGCAATGAGTAAAATTTGTCTCATGGTTTCCTGTGGAAAACCTCAAAAATCTGCCGGAAAATGAGGAAATTGACGAAAATTTTATTCAGTCTCGGAGTAGTACCAATAGACTGAGTGAATCCAATCTTTACTTTTCTCAAATTCGGGAATTTTTCCCTGGAAAATCCGGGGAAAACATGAGGCAAATTAACTCATCGCTGAGTTCCTGCACTTTTGGCGATTATGAGTGAACTAAACTCAAATTTGAGTCGTTCTCATTCGCCGTGATATGTGTCGGTCGGGAGGGTTGCGATTTAGCTATAGCTTTTATACTGTACTGATTTGAATATTTTTTGAGTGTATACACGCTATTTCAAAACTAGAATCCACCAATCTGGGTCAAAACTGAACCTACCAAAAATGGGTAAACTGTGATCTGCGATCGACGTTGTTCATTTGTCAACTTGTCACTCCCAACACAGTTTACCCATTTTTGGGTAGGTTCAGTTTTGACCGATCTGGGTGGATTGTACCCAAATATGGGTAGTTTTGAAATAGCGTGTATCCACTATAGCTGACAGTCCAAAACAAGCAAATTCGGAAAATCCGACTCATCGTCTTTGTACATGTTTCTTTTTCAGAATATTCTGCGGCTAGTGTTCGTAGCAAGTGGATCGATCCTTTTTTTGCTGCTCTCCTAGAATCTAGGATCCCTTCAATAACAGGTACATTTTCTACGATTATCCTTTCGATCTGTATGTGTAGGTACTTAGTTTAATTTTGTTTGTAATGAAGGCATTACTGTCGAAATATATATATGTTTATCGTTTTTTTCTTCTGCTATACGTGTGTTGTATTGGTATGAGAAGTGATAATGTCCATTTTCCATTGAAAGTTGTTAAGTGTATTTATTATTTTACGTTTCTCTGTTCACTAGCGTTTGGCGATTGCAATTCGGAATCACTGCTCTCTGACCGACGAGATGCTAATTAAATCAATAATTGCCCTGGTCTGCCTGGTCGTTCTAGCCCAAGCAGACTTGCTTAGGTAAGTTTTCATATTTTAATCTGATTAACATACATGTCATACCAAATAGTATTAAAAAAGTACAGTGCTACCAATGCGATTATAAAAGCGACAAAGTGTTGATGATTCATAGCTTAAAGCATCACCAACACCACCGGGTAGGGGATATTCTCCCAGTTTTGTTTACAAAAATGTATAGGCCCTTTTCAAATGCTACGCGAGCTTTCTTCATATCTTTATCTCGGTAGATTTGCCATAATCACAGATTCAATTGATAAATTGTCATTTCCATCTCTTTGATCTACTTTTCTGTACATTTAGGGTTCAGCTGCATAAAATCGAAAGTGCGCGTCAGCATTTTCGAAATGTAGACACCGAGATCAAACAATTGCGTCTCAAATATAATGCTGTATCTGGCCCGGTTCCTGAACCACTTTCGAACTACCTGGACGTAAGTTATAAATAGAAAGGAAATATGCCTAGGCATCATTTTTAATTTTTATACCAATGATCCACAGGCTCAGTACTTCGGTGCTATCACCATCGGAACACCGCCACAGAGCTTCAAAGTAGTGTTCGATACGGGCTCATCTAACCTTTGGGTGCCCTCGAAGGAGTGTTCGTTCACCAACATTGCTTGCCGTGAGTCAACCGTTATCGTCTGGTACATTCATAACAATAATGTTTACTGTTTGCTTTCATTTTTGCAGTGATGCACAACAAGTATAATGCCAAGAAATCATCGACATTTGAGAAGAACGGTACTGCCTTCCATATTCAATACGGTTCAGGAAGCTTGTCCGGTTATCTATCAACCGATACTGTTGGACTTGGTGGCGTTTCTATTGCTAAACAAACTTTTGCCGAAGCCATCAATGAACCTGGATTGGTATTCGTTGCTGCTAAGTTTGACGGAATCCTTGGATTGGGCTATAGTTCGATTTCGGTTGATGGAGTCGTTCCAGTATTCTACAACATGTTCAACCAGGGACTTGTGGACGCTCCAGTCTTCTCCTTCTACTTGAACCGTGATCCTAGCGCTGCTGAAGGAGGTGAAATCATCTTCGGAGGTTCAGACTCAAACAAATATACCGGGGACTTCACGTACCTTCCAGTCGATCGTAAAGCATACTGGCAATTCAAAATGGATTCGGTGAAGGTTGGAGATAACGAATTCTGCAACAATGGATGCGAAGCGATTGCTGATACCGGTACTAGTTTGATTGCTGGTCCCGTTTCGGAGGTTACTGCTATCAATAAGGCTATCGGCGGTACACCTATTATCAATGGCGAGTACATGGTAGACTGCTCACTGATTCCCAAACTGCCAAAGATTTCGTTTGTTCTGGGAGGCAAGACATTCGAACTGGAAGGTGCTGACTACATTCTTCGTATAGCGCAGATGGGTAAGACCATTTGCTTGTCTGGATTCATGGGGATCGATATTCCACCACCGAATGGCCCACTATGGATTTTGGGAGACGTTTTCATTGGCAAGTATTACACTGAATTTGATATGGGCAACGATCGTGTTGGGTTTGCCACTGCTATCTAGACTTACTTCAATTGAATTGGTAAGATTGCTTTAATTTCTTAGTTCCGAAGTCAATGTTTCAAGGCTATGCTGAAGACAAGTTTGTGTCACAAATGCATTAGATTTTTTTTTCAAGATAGGGTTGGCGCAAATTTGAAGAGAATAAAGAATTAATAAAACTAAACTGTGTTTCTTTTTAATCAACATCACTAAAAGACCAATCTCTGTACAGTGCCTTCCCATTTTAGGCAACATAACCTCGTCAGCTAATACGATTTTCAAATGTGTGCTACTTTCTGGTAGCGTATTTTGCTACATGTTTGGTCACTAGAGTGTTTCAGTGTTTATATGATGAAAGTCAAAGCCTGGATTTTCAAACGCTACCCCTTTGGTAGTTTGTGGGGTCAGAAACACCCTGCCAAAATTTGAAGTCATTTGGTTCCCGGGAACTCCTCGCTCAAAGGGCTTGAAGTTTGTACGGGGAAAATTGGCAGAATGTAGGGGGAGCGAGCCACTTTCAAATTCGCGGCTCTAGCTAGCGCTGTGTATCTCGTGTACATTAACGTTTCAAATCAACACCACCTGCATCATTTTTGGGGAGGGCCTAAAGCGATTTTTTGACGTAGGATTACGTCTGTGATTTCTATATGGGGGTACACTTTGTGAACACCGAAAATGGAACATGTAACAAAATTATGAAAGATTTTGAACGTTAATAACTCAGCTGCCCCTGGACCAATTTCAATAATTTTATCACCAATCGATTAGATATATTTCTACGCATGTGCAACTGTCGCTTTGACGATTAAAATTATCACTGATTGCCTGCGAAAAGCGATTTCCCTAAGACAGATTTCAAAGTTGAAGTGTTTATTCAATCACCTCGTGGTGAGTGGCGGTATTCTCCAGCACACAACGAAAGGATACCTGCAAGCAGCGAGCTGTAGCCTACATGACCATCTATAGAAGGAGGAAGAAGCCGCACAGCTATTGATCGGAATCAGTCCCCCTTATTCTGCGCCGCGAGTGAGGTTAGGTGACTCGCTGTCACTAGTGAGGTGACTCTCCATTTGATTTGTACGGAAAGTCACCTCACTCGCGGTGACTTGTGTCACCTCACTAGTGACAGCGAGTCACCTCACCTCACTCGCGGCGCAGAATAAAGGGGAGTAGCTCTTCGTGAGTCACTGTGGGCCATCTATGTCAATCGCGTCATACTAAAGAGTATAAACAGAGACAACCTCGCTCAAATTCTACAAATTCCTACACAAAACACAAGCTGCTGCTGCAGTTAATAAATAAAATTTATCTTATAAGACCACGTAGTCCTACGCCACCATTGCGTACAACCCTTGTAGTTTTTTATTTTTACGAACAGGCATACGAATATATATGTTTGCATGGGTGTAACTTTTTTGCTTCACCTGAAAACTGACTGAAATTTTCATAGTGAGTAGAAAAATGTCCGAAATTATGGTCTACTAAGAATTGGAACAGATTGTCCAAGTGGTTCCGGTTTTTTACCCGGTTTCACAGGGTTTTTTTTTAGAAAAATAGGAAATAACTGTTTATTAAATGTTTTTTAGATTTCCGGCCTATCGCCGATTTCTCGTAAATTGAAACTCAATCTCGCAAACAAACCATAGAAAATGATAGAGGAGTCATTTCTCTACCTGTTTGGGCCGTTAATTTTTTAGATTGAGCTTTAATTGGCGATTATCGTGTTTGTTTACAAGAGCAATTAAGCCCTAATCTCAAAGTTCTCCGGAGTTTCGATCTTTTTTCAATACTTTAGAAAAATCAAAAAGTATTTTTTCGGGCGGTTAGCTTCCCCACTGATTTACCCTGCTTTGGAAGTGATATGATGCAAATACATCCTCAGGAAGAGGGGTTTACTAGCAAATGGTGATGTAATAGAAAAACAATACAATACATTTATGTACAGCATTTACAACGACCGCTTTATCTAATACAGCTCGTCGAACAATGAACTTACAACTAACACATTGATACTGTTACCAAGAACTTGATAGCACTGTTTATCGGTTGTTTGCGGAGGAAAATCGAAATCTTCAGGAAACGACATCAATCTGGCAACTTCGGTTGGAGTAAAGTATCGTACATTCAGCTTTCTCATCAACATTATCTGCTTATCTGGGTCGTCTGTACTTTCAACTTCCCTATAAATGGCATCAAATTCAGTTCTTAGAAGAGGGCTATACACTGAACCAGTTCCTTCAGCGTAGCGCGTGTATGCCTTCGTAAAGCACATCGAATTGATGGAATCTGGTGTGCAAATATCCATTATTGCTAATCTCTTTCTTAGTATGTCGTCTTTTAGCAGATACCGACTTAGTTTGTCGGATTCTGGTTCCACAAGATCGCCGATTGTTCTGGCTGACTGAATGTGTTTCAAGTTTGGACTAGTAACAAGTTCGTTGGTGGGATTGCTAAATTCGTTTCGTTTAGCTATACAGTAGTACCGGTGACGAGTATTTGGAATGCCAAAATCGTGTGGAGAAAGGATGTATTCTTTGTAGAAGAATCCAGCAGCGGAGAGTCGTGTTTTGTACAGTTCACATGCCTGAGAACGTTCGAATCCTTTCACATTCTCCAGTAAGACGAATTGTACGGATGGAATCTTGTCCAAAAGGTCACACAGATGCACGAATGGGTCAGCTCTTCGGTCGTCAACGTCTTTGAAGCTGCCGTTGCGAGAGAAAGGCTGACACGGTGGTGACATGAGGATAACGTTTACGTCAAGCTTTTCAATGCGTTCCGGAGTCAAGCTAAGAATGTTACTGTTTTTAGCCTTATCTGAACCAAAGTTATGGTTGTAGATTGTATTGGCTACCGGATTGATATCTATTGCTGCCACCACTTTATAGGGTTTTCCAGAACCTACAAAACATTGCGTTGAAAATCTGATTGTTTTTATTTAAAATAGAATAATACTTACGATCGATAGCAAAATGCATGCCTCCTATTCCACTGAAAAGTTCCAAAACCCGATATTCCGGATCCGGTGCATGCTGGTGGTTATCGTCAACGACTTCGTTGAGGTTCATTTTAAACACTTTTCAAAGCGAAACTAAAATTATTTTTAAATGTTGGTTCCGTTATCACTTTGTTTATAAACATACAAGCAGCGCATGCATACTCGTGTTGAGATCTGTCAATGTGGTCGAAAGTCAATGAACTAGATTACCGAGGTGAAGCAGTCGGTTAAGTTGTGTGAGTGAAACCAGTGTACGATACAAGCAAATGTGACGTCACTACACAGCAAAAAAAATGTAATATCGATCAACGTAATTCAAGCTGATGTATGAAATAATGATGTAATAGCAAAAAGCATATACAATATTACATCAATGGATGTAATTTTGTTCGCAAAATCGATGTACATCGTACAATGTGATATTACACAACCGATGGATTGACCTGGCTGCAGCAGTTTCGATGTAATATTCAACAACTTTTTTAGCTGTGTAATTGCGTTTACGTTATTTTTTGGATTACTAATCCAACAAAATTTTAAAATCTTCATCATCGAAAGTCATCATCAGGGATATGTGCCGAGAGGGAGGAGGAGTTGAACTATCATAAATCTCTAATAGCGTTTTTTTTTTACTCAGTTCAACCTGGATCGGATATCAAGATTTGTGTACTTGTAAGCGTGACTGATTTCTCACCACAATGGGTCTGGGTACAATCCCAGCCGAGGTCGGTGGGATTTTTCTGAGGCATAAAAATCTCTGGTCACGTCTTCCTTCGGAAGGGAAGTAAAGCCGTTGCTCCCGCCCATGTGTGTTGAATGGGTGCGATATCCTACGCAGGTGTGGAAGCTGCCTTCCTGCACATTCATTTGCCGTAAATGGATGGCAATCGATGTCCGTCGGTGATTGGCACTAGATTGCGTAACAGAGACCGACGTTAAATAAAGGAAAGAAGAACAACACTACGAATCAATTGAAAGTTTCAAACCCTATTCTACCTAGGATCAAAGGTTTACCAAAGATTCACAAACCACGAAACGAAATGAGGGAGATTATCTCGGCTGAAGGATCCCCAACTCATAAGCTTGGCTAGTAAAGATATTTCAAAATATGCCTAAGACCAGTTAACAGCACACAGGAATTCGCAAATCAACTTCAAGCATTTGTTTTGGCATGGGACAATGTGTGGGGTGCTCAACCAAAATGTCAGTTTATCATCTCATCATAAATTGCCCTGCACATCAAAACCTCCGAGAACAACACGGTATCGGTCTCAGCATCAGAGACGCATTATCCAATGACCCAGACAGGGAAAGATCACTTCCCGACTACCTTAACTACCGCAACGAACAATGACACGACAACGGACGAACGAAGGCACTTGGACAACACCAGCTCTCTAAATGACATGACAAACGGAAGAACAACGACGACAACCCGGCAAACTACGGATATTGACTCACTCTCGGAAATTAACCACAACTTCGTTCACCTTCCTTACTGTTACAACAATCAACACAGAACTCTGAGTGATGATGATAATGGTTTACCACCCATTGTAGCACGGAAAATAAGTCCGACAGCAGTGGGCCATAGTGGGCTCTCTTCTCTGTTTGTCTTGATCAAGCTTAATAACCTCTGATTGTCCTCAACATGTCGCTGTATCAAGGGCCAAAACCGAATTGGGTAGATCGATAGGCAAAGTCGCCTATACGCATCTACGGAACAATAAAGAATCTCCTTCCAGCAACTTGATCAGTCAATTGGTCAAAAAGACAAGCCCCCAAAGAGGAAGATGCCCCAATGAGTGGGGAGAAAAGTCCGCCCTTTATCCACGAAATGTTATCAACAGGGAGTTGGCATTCCCACTCTCCCCGTCGAAATCGCTTCAATCGGGTGCCCCCTGTTGGACCGTTCCTTCCTTTTTATATATGTGTTTCATTGTATATACGAGTTGATTGTTATGATTATTGTCAATAATACTTACATTTCGATGAAGATCGTGATACTTATCATTACAGAAACCAATCTTGAATCGTAGACCAGGTCCATCAACAATACACTCGTTCCGAGCAGGGGTCATCTTCTTCTTCTTCAGGTTCGCTCATCACCCGGAATGAAGGCTCGGTGCGGTTAGTAATATCAAACAGTGTTACATGCAAACGAAAAAGATATACAACCAGGATTAGTTTTTTAAATTCATAGCACAGACAAACAGACGTAAATCTTTGAAAAAGTTTTCTTGAAAACATTGTATCTCAAAACATAGGACCTCAGTAACGACATCTCTCTGGCTTCTCGCGGAAAACAAGCTTGCTCGCTAACTCGTTCTACAGAATGTTTAGAAACGTCAAAGTGATCCGATGCCAGCGCTGCGGCGAGCAGTTCGCGGAACTGATAATATTCAAATCAACCGTTAAATGCGTGAACGAAGATACACAATGAAGAGATACGTCTGTTTGTGTGTAGTAATAGGCATGTGAATACCCAACTAACCATATCTCAGTGACATTTTCTCACTCTGAACATACATTAAAAGGTATTTTGTGTTTATATAATTACTTTGGTACTCACATGAAATGTTGTGCAAGTACCACATGTTCAACAACGCCCAACTATGGACAGCTCAATGTTAATACCATTTCCTTTTTGAATCAGCGTACACCAACGTGATAATCTTCTAAGAAACATCTAAGAATGTATAGCTCAAAATGCAGTTTTAAATGATGGTACTTTAAAAACATCAAACTGTCCAATATTGGACCCTGCCAACACACGGCGCTTGCACGGTAATGTGGGCCGTCAGAATGGTTCATCGGTTGCGAAGTGAAGTGCTTCTCAAACTGAAGCGAAACATTTCTCAATTTTTCAACGTTAACTTAATATTATCACCCATATGCCCGTCCACGCCCGAAACCCATCCACCACACAAAATCAAATAAAAATGTTTCTGCAAGACAAACACGTCCAGACATAAACGAGAATATGGGTGTATATCTTCACTGTAACAACTACGGGTAATCATCGAAAATACCTACTTGCATTTTACTCAGACACTTTTGAGCAAACTGCAATCACTCTATCATACTCGAAATGTGCCACGACCAAATTGGCACAACGACGTCCTATACGCTATCTGACCAAAGCGCAGGGACAATCGACACAGAACTCTGAGATCCTGGAGATTCTTAAACTCTGTAACAAACACTATGTAATTTATTTATTTTCCCTCTCCGAACCAGCTAAAGGCTGAAAGTCTCTATAATAAAGCAAAAAAAAAGAATGTAACAGAACTTTTTCCGAGTTTACCAGTAAAGGAAACCATCAGCCTTTTAGAAGCAACGTGAGGATTCTTGGAAAAACAAAGTTCTGTCATGTACATATATACTTATTTATGGTACATAATGATACTGTGAATCATCCCTTTATTGTTTACGATTATGCGGGTCCGTAAATCGCAGAATGTCTGAAATGTCAGAAATTACCGTTTTAGTCAGTTAAATAATTGCTGTCTTTTTCAGTAATTTATTTGTTTACATTTTATACCGAGTTCATCAGTATTTTTATTTCAGTAGGTATTTTGATAAATAAGTCAGTAAATTTATAAATAAAATAATTAACTGCTTAATGATTAGTTTTGGATGCATTTTGAACGATTTTTATTCTGGAACTGAGGTTAACAGTGGCGGAGTAGCAGTGACTCTGAACTAGTTCTGGTTGAGCGGTCAGCGCTTCCTGATGATTCGACCGGATTGCGGCTCTCTCGGTGTGCTGGATTGCGTGCCTAAGTCTGGAGCTCTATATGAGGCAATTGTATTGAATGGTTTTGCTTCAAAATGAAACATCTGGAAGTCGATGCAGAAGTGTAGAAACTGCCCAATCTTGTGGTAGTTTCTGCACTTCTGCATCGACTTCCAGATGTTTCATTTATTTTCACAATGGTTTGCTGTTTTCACGCGGATATTTCCGTTGTCAAGTGAGCGAGGTAGAACGAAGGAAGATGGCGCAAGTAATTTGATTTGCTGGTGTGATCAGCAATTTTGGAATTTCGTTCAATACTGAAAACTCGGTGCTCTATTTAACTGAGTTTCAGTAAAGCTGTAATTTTACGGTAAATTCAGTGCTTGCTATTACCGTATTCAGTAGTTTGTCGCAATAGCTATAGCTACTACAGTATACTGGCCATCAGTAGTTTTATTGAGAATAGCTGAATGTTCGGTAATTTTTGTGATTTACAGTTCGAGAACTGTAAAAAAAATTACCGAACATGGAAACCGTGATTTAGTGTGTATGTATCGAAGAATGGGCAATCCACTCACCGACAAAGCGACATGAATGACCATAGAAATTACCACGAAATTTCTGCTCAAAGCACACTACCGACATCTATTCTGGAAAAGTTATTTTTATCTATGGTATTGACAGAGGGGATTGCTGCACAATTGAATCGGCCGTTATTGATTTTCGAGTGAAAGTTAAGTTTCAGTTTCATGTCGGTTTGTCGGTGATCCACTTTCTCCATTTTTATTTGAATTGTTCAACCTAACCTAGAAAATACTCTGGAGGATAGGAATGTGTTGCCCAAGTGTTGGTATAGGTACGTGGATGACATTTTTAGCATTGTCAAAAGGGAAGATTTATCAAAAAATTTGGAGGCCATACGCAACACGTTCACAAGGACATCAAATTTACTCGCGAAGAAGAGAGAGACGCCAAACTCCCCTTTTCAGATCTTTTTTTCATCAGGGAAACGTCTTCGTTCAATTTCGAAATCTCAATCAGATCTACAGCATGAGATTAAGCTCTCCCACGTTCGGCAAGGTCCTTAAGAATGGCAAGCTCCCATATACCGGAGGGATGTCATCATAATTCAGTATAGCGTATTAATTTAGATGTTTGATTTATTGAACTTCTGTAATACCTTCCATTCAAGACAAATTGCAAATTTCCTCCGTAGAATAAGTGGGTTTGTGTTAATTGCAACTGTTGCATAATTTTGGTTAAATAAAAACTATTTTGATTATACGCGTATGGGAGAAAAAAAAACGATAATTTCTACGAGTACACACCCATCGGTTTTAGTAACCTTCTATTTAAATAAAAAATAAATTGCATATTCAGTTATTTTCTTTTGTATTTGCATTCATTTCATGAAGTAAGATGTACATAATTAAATTTTCCAGTTCATGAGCTGATTTTCGAAAATTATGCCTTTCGAGTTTCGGGTTCAAACGAGTTTGAGTCGAATGATCAGAAGAGTCCAAAAAACGTTGATTGCGTTTTGTTTCTTCACACAGTACCTTAAACACTACCTTATACTCCTAAGTTTTTTTTTTACAAAAGGAACATTCAGATAGCACATCGTAAGCACAAACACTCCAGTTTCATTTTTAGTCTAGTGGAGCATTCATCAGAGTATCGAAACTGCTTACCAGCTGCTATGTGGATGTTCCTTTTAAGATTTTATTACTTTCACATTTATGCATGAACTAATTCTATAATCAGTTTCATTTCGTTAAATTTCTCTTTTTACGAGGTTAAGATCAAACAAATAATAAAACAAAAACGCAAAATAATCTTTAAAAAATGTACTCTTTGTAAACATTGCTGTTCTCATCCATCCGGATTCTTCGAAATTTAAATTAAATGTGAAAGATTTGTCCGTTGTTGGTTTGAATAATGCAATGGATGTGATTTCGTGGCTCTGAACCTTAAATACAGAATTATCATTACCATATATCAAAGGAGGGGGGAGATGTTGATCATTATAGTAATTATAGTAGTAGTAGCAAAAGATGCCTGCTGCTTAAGCACGTTCGCCTCGGATACGGCGGGCCAGCTGAATATCCTTAGGCATAATTGTGACACGCTTAGCGTGGATCGCGCACAAGTTGGTGTCTTCGAACAGACCTACTAGGTAGGCCTCACTGGCTTCCTGCGAGGATAATGGATAAAGCATGGCGTTTTAGATAGTCATTATTTACGGTGGGAGACGAACCAGCAGATGACTGAATGTCTCAGCAATAAAGACGAACAAACCCATCAATGGAAAATCTTTGGAAGCTTACCTGGAGAGCACCGATGGCAGCCGATTGGAAACGGAGATCGGTCTTGAAATCCTGTGCAATTTCACGCACCAACCGCTGGAAGGGCAACTTGCGGATGAGAAGTTCAGTGGACTTCTGGTACCGACGAATTTCTCGCAGAGCCACAGTACCTGGGCGATAACGATGGGGCTTCTTGACACCACCGGTCGACGGGGCGCTCTTACGGGCGGCCTTGGTGGCCAACTGCTTACGCGGAGCCTTGCCTCCAGTGGACTTACGAGCGGTCTGCTTAGTACGAGCCATAGTTGTTCGATAGGGTGTGGTTTAGAGCTGAAATGATTGAAAAAATTGGGTAAGTCCTGATGAATGTTTGCGGCCATAGTGGAATACTACTTGCATAAAGAGAGAAGGATTAGTCATTTGCTTTTCATTCCGCTACCTCAATTGGTAATCCTTGACCGATACGCTTATTTCGTCTAAAACGAGCAGACTTCTTTAGTGTCTTCTACTACTCGACTTTTAGTACAAGACACTGGAGAAGTCTGCACATTGTAGACGAACTACGCGTATCGTAGGATAAGCAAGTTATGTAGTGGAATTAAATGGAAATTATTGACTGCACTACTGATCCCCGAGAGTTATGTCTTATTGTCTATGATTGGAACATTCACTCGTTAAGAATTGTCCATAAGCTAAGGCTGTTCGTATGATTTTTTAACTTAAATTTGACGCTTTGAAAATAAATTAAAATCCTTCAACATTTCAACAGGGCGAAACTGCTTTTGTGAACAATGGATTACCAACATGGTTGATTTTCGCAACAAATGTGGCTAATAAAAAAAAGTAACTACGTTTTATCTTGTATGCACGGCAAATCTATCTGCTTATTTGGGTTCCACTCCCTGAAATTCGCAAAAACGTAGCTCACTCGTAGAATTAGTAAATTTTAACTCAAATATGAGTAAATGTCACTCATATATTAGTGACATTTACTTATATTTGATTAAAAAATTACTCATTGTTTGAGTGTCCTATTTTCCGTGCGCAGAAAACCGAAAAATGTTGATGTTCACAAAATTAGAACCATTTTCGAATAACATATTTAGTAGAAGTAGAGCTATTATTGCTTATGTTGCTATCTACAGTGGTGGCCTTTAAATTAGCACAATAGACCGATTTTCATACAAACTAGCCATCTTTGGCATGTTGCAACTGTTTTGTTATGATCAATTGAGCTGAAATTTTGACACAGAACTACTGTTACAAATATGCTGAATTTTGCGTGTACGTAATATCAAATTATTGGAAGCGCTTGCCGGAAATTGACGGGTTGGTTGAAAATGACCAACTAATTAGGCACATTTATTTTCATTTTTATTTTGCAGCGTTTGGTGGGGCAATGGGAGCGCAAGTCAATCCAAAGCCGAGGATAAAGGAAGGGTAATGGCTGAATAGTCTATGCGGACCACTTGAACGCCATGGGAAAAGGAAGGGATTGAAGAGGCCGGTTATTGGGGGGTTTTAAGGAAATGACACATAGTACTAGATTTGTGTTGCAAAATGTAATGAAACCGAAAATCCATCTCCCACTGATTCATCCTTTCACATATATACCAAATTGATATTTTAAAGCAACCATCAAAATAAATAGACAATATATGAAAAGGCTAGTTGCCTCCCTAAGCGGACCCCCCGCATCCTAACTCTTTTGTTAATCTGCTTAATGTTATTAGGCTGTCTAAATTTTCTTATTTAAGTTCGTTTGATGATTATGATATTTCATTAGTCTAATTTAATAAATCTCTAATTTACCTAATCAATCATAACTCATGCTTTATTAAATATTATTATTATTATTTATCTTTATTAGGGAGGCTTTATCAAGTACCTAAACTGCTATGTAATCTAAAATTTAACGTGTTTCAAGTAATTTTGACTTTGACTTTGATCTATATTTATTATATCTTAGATCGACCCAGGTGACACCTTCAAGTGACTAAAATGCTTCACTTTGAAATTAGTTTCCTAGCTGATTTTTAAATTATATAAGGTATACGCTCCAACTATGCTCACACGTTTCCACTATATCGTCCCACAAAATTACGTATGGATATGCCACAATAGAAGCACGCCACAGTGGACCAAAATGAAGCATATATAAGATTAGTTACAATACCATGGTGGTGTTTAACATTGTTCCCTGAGTAATGCTTCAATGAAAACAACAATGAAAGCTTGTCACGCAAATAGAAGGAGCACCGTTGGGCACTTTCTGAAATATTTCAATAGTATAATTCCCTTGCAAACCCAAATAAATCTATCTGCGTAAAAATAAATAAAATAAGAGTGATTTGCGGCAAAACCCACCAGTATCGCACCCAACGTCAGTGCCTATACGTAAGCGTACTACAACGCGGCTTTCAAATAAAGGAGTAACAAGTGTGATACTATCACTTCAGGCTAGAACTTTGGTTCTCTTAAGCGAACCCCACACGTATCAATATATTGACGCGAAGGGGAATTATTGACTGTAATATTGATGATGTGAGTGAAGAAATATTGTCAATACCGATGTATTGACGTCAATATTGAATGTATTGACAATACGATTATTGTAAATAAAAGCAATCGTGTAGGGTCCACTTTATGCAATGGTTCATCAGAAGCAAACCCCACACGCATCAATATATTGACGCGAAGGGGAATTATTGACAATAATATTGATTATGTGAATTCAGAAATATTGTCAATCTCGATATATTGACGTCAATATAGCATGTATTGACAATACGATTATTGTCAATAAAAGCAATCGTGTAGGGTTCACTAGAGAGGGGAAGCTCAGTAATCCTCATCGCATGCTCATGACGCTATTCTGTCACGACATGAGCCAACGATGCCGGACCTAAACCAACCGTCTTCAACGCTCCACTATGAAGCATAAGATTAGGCCCGCCCACCAACGTCCAGGTTAAAAACTAGCCAAGGGGAGGGAAAAATGACCAACTAATTAGGCACATTTATAATTCGAAATTTCCGAAGTCTATTACATACTTCGAAAATTGTTGATCATATCGTAAATCACTTTCTTAAGCACGTCGTTTATTGGCAATATGGTTGAAAATTTTAAAACTATAACAATTAATAATAAATGGAATACAAAGATGTCTTAGCAAAATATTTATCATTCTCGAAATTGTCCTGACGATATTTTATAGTTTAATCGAAATCTTGTTCCTTGCCCACTCCGAATTTTTGAGCATTTTGTACATCACTTAAAATTATAAATTATGATTAAAAATAGCATTGTTGAATTATCCAAACCATCCCGAATATCTGATCTTGAAGTTATGCAGACTCAACAAGGTATACGAAGATTCAACTTAATGATAGAATGGTTAAACCACATAAACCTTCGTGAACCCCTTTATATCGTTTAGTTTTCCAAAATGTCCAAGAGATTCTAAAAAAAAATACTAGTTAAGCTACCGTGGTAGAAATAACAATACCACCATTTGCCCAAAATTGATTGATTCCAAGTAACATTGCAAGTTTTACAATGGTTTAAATGTGTCTTCAAAACCAAATTATGGCCCACAAGACTATGATAAACCCAAAATTGTTACTTGGGATGAGTATTTATGATCATTCACGGTGCGATTTGGGTTTTCCTGGTTTTATCTAGACCTGTGCGCCGCCGCGCCACGCCGCCGCCGCCGACGATTTTCATACGCCGCCGCCGCCGATGAAAATAAGCCGGCGCGCCGCCGAAGTAAAATCTTCCACGCCGCCGAATAAATTTATGTCACGCCGATGAAAAATTCGAAGCACCTTTTAGGTAAAATGCATCTTGAACGCGTTGAAATTAGCGTGTAGTGCAGCGATTATCATTTAGGTTTTTGACGTTTGTTCGCACTTTCTCGATCTAGCACACAATAATGAATCATTCAGGTCGGATTTACATAAAGATGAATAAGTGAATATAGGGTGCCCCAGAATGTCTAAGCACGACTTTCGAACACCCCTGCTTGTTTCAGATGCCGTTTAAACAACTGATTATCACGCTGAATCATTGTTTACATTTCGACCAACAGTTTCGTGTATCGCAAGTTGCAGTTCTTTACATTTCCGTGACAATGCGAAGCATTTCTCTGGAAAAGCGCAAACAGATCGTGCACAAATGGTGTACTATACCCATTTTCTTTTAAATATCATTATTATGGAGACTTTCAGCCCAATCTCCAACATTTCTCTGAGTAAATTAGTGAAATTGGAAGGTGTAAACATCGGAGCCGTTCGAAACGCGATTCGGAAGTATAGTGATGAAGCAACTAAAAACAAGCCGCATTCGTCAAACCGAGGGCTGATTGTTTTTTTCATTATCGGTAGCTTCTCAAAACTTTTATCGGTAGTTATCGGTAGGCCGTCTTAAGAAGGCTTTCCCGATACTTGAAACCTTTGTGAGCGGAGGGGGGGGGGGGGGTGTAACTGTCTTTCAGTTCTTCTGCTTTAAACGCGTCGAAATAAATATGAATATTTTTCAAGATTACCAAAAATCTGTGATTCTCGGTAGGAAAAGTGAAAAATCGGTAGTTTTTAACCTTTTGTCTGTGAATCGGTAGTCATATCGAAAATCGATAGGACTACTGATAAATCTGATAATCACCCTGCTCGGAAGTTATAGAGCTTTTTGACGTTTAATTGGCGCACACTACTACACCATTTAAATCGAACGAGTACGAGCAAGAGGGAAACAGATTAGTGGGAAAACAAACCGTTCATTCATCCATGTATGCTAGATAGAGAAAGACTATTAAACGTTAAAAAGGTTTATACGACCAGTTGCTGTGCGGAAAATCGGTGTTCGAGATTATGGACGTAGAATCATACGTTAAATTTGATTACAAAACTCTTCCTAGTGATCAGTACTACACCGTTTTGGAGGCGAACCAGCCCAAGGCTGAAAGCCTCCTTAATAAAGTTAAATAATAATAATACTACACCGTTCGTGATGGCCGAAGTGTTGACGACGCGGATAAGTCGATTTTTTCCGAAAAAAAACGGAAAAAATGCTATGGGCAAGCCATTTGTGAGTGTGGTATGCTTTCAAAACCGTTTGTGACAACGGAGACAATGACAACCGATGTTTAAGTGCGTGAATGTTCAAACAAGCGTCTGTTACCCATGATCCGCAAACACGACGCCTCAGTACAGTTTTGGCAAGATTTGGCGTCGGTTCATTACTCCAAGGACACGATAGCCTGGTATAAAGCCAACAAAGTCCAATTCGTACCCAAGGAGATGAATCCACCAAACTGTCCCCAAGCCAGGCCAATCGAAACTTTTTGGGTCCTGACCAAAGCATATTTGCGGACACATGTAAAGGCAGCGGATTCCGTTACAAAGTTTGTGAAAAACTGGGAAAAAGTATCCAAAATTGTTGGACTGAAGCTACGTTTAACTGTAAGAGAATACTATAGAGAACATGAAAACGAAATAAAAATCGTATTTGCTGTAAACAAAGTTACGTTATCGTTTTTTTTTTTCTAATCGTGCACCCTATATTACTAACAACACGTTGATATTTGAACTTTTTTTTAATCTCTTACAGGTCCAAGTTGTGCTTCAAATACATAAACCAAAAGTTGTATGACTACAATGCGTGTACATTCAAATATGTATCAGAGTAGTATAAGCATATCATTTATCGCTATTAACATATTAAAAACGTGTAATGCTCAATAAATGAAAGAATTCCTAGGGCCCATTAAAATGTTACGTAATGCAACAGATTGCTTTTAAATACCATCCACCCATACATAACGTACTTTTCTTATACTTAATAGAAGGGTTGTAACACTTTGCAATACGACTTCACCAATCAGCACTTGACATACTTTCCTAAACAAATTCCGCATGCACGGCCAATGATAACGACTCAAAATAGAGTAAGAGTTACTCATATTTGAGTTCAGTTATTTATTTTTTTTTTGTTGGGGATTGAAGTAAAAACCACTCCGTGCATTATTTGAACTTTTGTGGTACCCGTATTTGTTGTTTGTATCATGCAAATCGACCACTATTTAACGAGTAGACAGCTAATTGCCTGGACACATCTTTTCCCAGTCCGGTATAATATGGTTTATAAAATCAACTACATTTCTATGATTTGCAGACTAAATATCACTAGGTTGTAAGCCAATATTTCCAAGAAATTTGGATCTACGCTTATGTAATGCACCACAACTGCAGAACAGATGTTCCGAGGTTTCACGTTCCAAATTACAGAAACGACAGATATCACTCTGAACCCGACCAATGTTCTTAATGTGATATCTACTAGGACAGTGCCCAGTTACTAGGCTAGTGTATATACAAAGAGCTCTTTTATTGAGCTCTATGAGCTTTTTGGTGTATGTTATATTAGGAGTTATAAATCTTTTCGACTGGTTGCAGTTTGTGCATGTGCAATTGGCCATCACCCTTTGCTCTTCCCAGCATTTGAGTTCCATTTTTACCGTACGGTATGATATTCCACAGTATGGTTCGCTTGAAACACCTTTGGAAAATGTCCCATCGCAACTGAAATATTTGTCCCGGGGTCAAAGATTCCTGCATCTGTTCGTATTCCAATTTTTGAGCCATCTGTGAAAAATATGATTGAGCCTTGACGAACGTTAGGACCACCAATTTCCCAATCCAAACGTGCCGTTTCACATACGTTGAAGGGAATTTCATAGTTGTCCTCTGGTTTCCCAGTCTCCATTCATACTCATCACTGGTCCTCTTTGGAAGTATTGTAAGATGCTTGGATGACCAACAAGATGAACTGACATTACCTTTTTAGATCTTTTGAGCCTTAGAGCCCTTCTTTCCACTTCTAGTTGCACATGTTCATGCAAGGGCAGCAGATTGAGGATTGCTTCTAATGCTTTTGATGGGGTGCTACGCACCGCACCCATTATTGCAATGCATGTTAGACGTTGAAGTTTTGCTAGCTTCCTCTGTGCAGTAGCCTCTTTTGATTTTGGCCACCACACTAACGAAGCATGAGAGTTCAGGTTACTCAAATTCGCGAAATCTTAGGTCACTCATAGATTGAGTAAATTTTCCGACGCTTTTCCGAGGAAAACTTCTCGAATATGAGGAAAACTGATTGTGGTTTTAATCTGTCTTCTAGTACACTTCTAACCTGTGTACAATTTTCTTAATTTTTCCCATATCCGAGAAGTTTTCCCCATGAAAGTGTCGGAAAATTTACTCAAACTATGAGTGACTTACGTTTTAGAGATTTTCAGTAATCTGAAATCAAATATGGGTAGCATTTTTTGTCCATGTGCGATTGGTTTGGAAAGTATTTTTTTTTTCTAAATTAGTTGGAATAAACTCACGCCGACCCACGCCGCCACGCCGCCGCCGCCGAAAGCAAATGGCGTGACGCCGCCACGCCGCCGCCGCCGGCAGAAAATAACATATCACGCCGCCGCCGAAAATATTTTGATCGGCGCACAGGTCTAGTTTTATCCCAGATTTCCCGGTAGGATGGACACCCTGAATAGGTATGAGAAAAATGCCACACTGGATGAGGGGTTTAAAAATATCGAAAAACTTAAGGATTTTATATTTGAACCGCCCTAGAACCCATTGAAAAGTTACGCGAGGTTTGTTTTTCATTCGGCTTGAAAGCCAGAGGCCTCATTGGGGAAGTCGAAACGAAATGATTTTCGTATGAACGCTTGTATGAAAATGTTTCATTTGGGTTACATGTGGCCTCAATTCCAACCCAGTACTACCCTCGACCTAAGGTAGGCTTTAAACACCCAGACCCAATATTGATACCCGATCCAGGTTGGAACTGAATCAAAAACAAATTAGGTAAACATTACGATCAGAAAGAGTAAATATTCCCCAACATAACATATGTTGCTTGTCTAGATTCCATATTCTACCATCGGTACATGCGTCCAGCAGCATAGAATTATTTACCCTTCCTGTACATTATCCAGATAAACACATCTTATGACATGCGCTGAAGACATAAAAAAATCAATAACCTCTATGGCACAAGTGCAAACATAACCTGATCCAGCAGCCACCAAATGGGAAAAATAATAAAAACAAAAATCATTTTCCCGCCGAATAAACTCCCATCTTCTTCCCACTTCACGCAAGTCCACTGACCTGGTGAGAAGCATTGGGGTTGGGATGACAAAGTCGTCTACTAGTCATGCCGCGCGACCACCACTACCACCATCATACGGCCGTAAAAGCAATCACAAGGAACGAGAAAAAAAAAGTAACGAGGGGGTCTTTCGGTGTCTATCGTGTGGCTCGGCCTTCGCCCCAATTTTCATTATTCCGTTTGCTCCTGAGTGGGAAATTCCTATCTTCTTATCAAAATGCATCACTAATCGGAAGAGCTTAATTAAATCGCACTCTTGTTTACAGTTTCTATCACTTAGCCCATTTCAACGCATGAGAAATTCTAAAGTCAAGAATGATCACCAAAGAGCAAGAAAATATTGAAAACAATGCAACAAAATGGCGTCGTAGCGAAGTACTGAAGAGGAGCCGATTTGGAGCCAACATAGAAATGCTAGCTTAGTCCAAATTCTTCCTGGGTTTGTGCCCCTCAAACTCCAGCTTCAATTGAATATTTTCTGCCAACACTCATTTCTTCAAACTTCAACTACAAATTACACTATCAAATCACTAACATCCAAATCGACATTTTAATCACTAAAAATCACTCAAAACTTACCTTTCTGCAAATTAGTAATCCGGATGAAATTTACACTTCTTCTCCCAAAGCGTTCACTTTACTTAATGACGAAACGGAGCTTTCTGTTGGGAATTGTACTTTGAAAGCGTCAGCAGACGGAAAATCGATCGCATTTGAATCATATCGAAGAAAGGGCGTGCTCTTTTACTCCAATAGAAGTGAATATGCAATGTTATTCTTGCTATCTTACTCCCTCGCATACAGCACACCAAGCGCGCGCTTTTCTCACCCAGTCAGGCAGAGCATGTGAAAGTGTTGACTTGTGTGTGTGGCATGTCTTCGAACATTCATGAGCTTTCGAGAGCTTTCGAAAATGTGATATTCGAAAAGCACAGTACAGGAAGAAATCGGAGGGTCATATCGTCACCAATAATTGAAAAAGGTCTATCAGCGTTTGTAAGCAAAACTTTGTACACCCTTTCATCGCAAAAAGTCGGCTGCTCAAGCAAACCAACAGCATCATCGGATAGAGAACACTTTTCCCTACACGTTGATGCTATTAAATTGTGTAGTGGCCTAATAAAGGCAAGGAAATAAATAACGAAATTGTGTTTAAACAACCTGATCGGCACTTTTCAATTATTGGTCGAGATATCAGAGATGTTTACACGGTAACCGCAAAATACTCAATAACGACTATAAAGTAAGTGTTCACGATCAATGAAATCAGCCAAAATGGAGTGGTTTTTACTCAAAAGCACAAAAACGTACACGGCCACTGAGAATAACTCAGAGTGAGAGTCACTTCTACTCAGTTGTATGGAGAAATTTCTTAAAACTGCTGGTACTCAGCGTTGGGTTCCTACAGTTTTTAGAAATTTTTCCATACCTCTGACCGCGTCACGGTAACGGTAAGAAAAAGTACCTAAAATAATAAAAAAAAGCTCTTAGTGCACTATTAGCCTATTAGGTAAAAGCAACCACGTTTATTTTACCCAATTTTGAGTATGTACACACAAACAACAAAAATTGTATCAATAAAAATAATGCATTTTTAAATTGAAATTGTCCTTTTTTTTTTTTTTTTTAACTCTTTATTTGTTCCAAATTCAAAATAAATTACATTTCATTTTACCCTAGGTGCTCCAGTTACTGCAGTAACGTACCAGCCTTAATTGTTATGATATATATCTAAGTGTTTTTACATTGTTCATGTCTTGGCAATTCAGTATTTTAAACAGGGTTTTTAACTTGCATGTCAGTATAACAATTGATATCTTAAAACTAAAAACTAAAACTAAATCTTATCTAAGTATAAAGGGAATTAATCGTTGCAATTGAGGATTGCAACGATTTTTGCCTGAAATTATTAATTATTTTGTTGGACATTTGTTCTAAAGTCTCAACATTCGAAATTCTATGTACTTCGGTAGTACTGTACCAGGGAGGCAACTTCAAAATCATTTTCAGAACTTTGTTCTGAATCCTTTGAAGTGCTTTTTTCCTGGTAGTGCAACAACAAGACCATATTGGCACAGCGTAAAGCATGGTCGGTCTAAAAACTTGTTTAAATATTAGAAGTTTATTCGTCAGGCAAAGTTTGGATTTCCTGTTTATAAGAGGATACAAACATTTAATATATTTGTTACATTTAGCTTGAATGCCCTCAATGTGATCTATAAAAGTTAATTTTTGGTCAAGTATTAATCCAAGATATTTCACTTGGTTTGACCAGGCAATTGGAACTCCGTTCATAGTGACTATGTGACTACTACTAGGTTTCAATTGAAATTGTCCTTAATTTCCTTGTTTCAACCGCGGTTTCAACAACGAAAATATTCGAAATAAAAGTTAATTTTTCAAATTGAACGTTTTTGTTTCACTTTTGACCCGTGATTTTAAAAGTGCATAGTTTTAAAACAAAAGTTGTACAACTGTCAAAAATACCCATTCATCGATGTTTTTACTGGCTGCACTGAAATCTCATTTGCCGCCTTTTCCGTTAAGGCCCAAACGCAATATGGGCGGAAGCAGAACGGAAACGGAAAGTTTGACAGTTGTCACAAACACGCAGAAAAAAACCTAGGTGAATCAAATAAAGTTCGTTTCACTTTAAACAAAATTTTGAATATAATATGGATCAATAAAATTGACAGAGTAATTCAACAAAAACATTGAGTTGAAATAATTATACAAAATTTATTGAATTGATCATCGGTTATTATTGATTCAAACAGAATGTTTGCTTGGATCAAATTGAAGCATTTTTTTAAGCAATGTACGTTTTTTGTTGTCTTGAAACATCATTTTAATTATTTAAGAATCGTTTTTATTTTCAATGCCCAGGTTGTCTTTATTGAAAAAATATTGCAAATAATATGTAAAGTAGTAAGAAGTACGAGAAGTCTTTGTTCGATTGAGACAATTGAGCAGGCACTGTTTGTCACGTACGCTTAATTAAGTTGGCATATTCGTCATATTCACCAGAGCCAGAGCCATTCTGGTGTTGATTCTGATGTTGTTGGTGTTAATGTTGAATTTTTGTGTTGCTGGAAGCGAGTGCAACTGCTGTAAGTGCAGCGATGGTGGCTGATGGTGACGATGATGGTTCAACAAGAGATGGTTCTCTTAAATCTACTGAGCCAGACGTTGTGGTTGGAAATTGGATGATTTTGCTCCTGGAAGTTTGGTGGAGCCATATTTTGGAGGAATAGTGAGGGCCACTACCTGATAGGGGATAACCCAACTAACAATTTTCACAATGTAAACGCTTTACTCATTTCATTTATACAGCCTCATACCCCGTACAGACTATGGCTTATATCATGTAATATAGGCTGTCTTGCAATGAGCACTCATACATCTAGTTTTCACTGGAAATCCTATGTATGAGTGCTCATTGCAAGATAGCCTATATTACATGATATCAGCTATAGTCTGAACGTACTATCAAGCTGTATTCAAACGTTATACGATATGAGGAAACCTTTACTCAACCTCTATACAAGCAAATCTGGCGAACTTAGTCAGCTACTTATGGCTGTTGGAACGGTCGGGAGAAGCTCTTATTGCATATCCATTAACGCTTCTATACAGCTGTTATCCTGCTGTTTAGTTGTGTGTGAACTTGAAAGGCGCTTATTCCACCTTTTCCCGGTTATCCAATAATCACTACACAGCTTTCTCTTGAAGCCGGGTTAAATACTGTTTACGCTTTTTTATGAAGGAATTTATTGAGTTTATTTTGCTGTGAATCAAATTAATCGAAATTAGTTACAAATCATCGCCAAATTATTTACCCTGTACCGGAACCTGGAATCGAACTCGAGACGACCTCATTGGCAAACCTTGACACTACCAACTGTGCTACGCCAACACTTTGAACTTGTGTAAACAAATCAACATTCCCTTCTACAACAAAATCGCTGAGTAGAGGCTTTATAATAGTGCACACGAATCACTTTTCTCGACTAGTTATAAAAGAGCAGAGTAAAAGCTGTAAAACTGCACACACACTAAGATTTTGTTTTCGTGTTCGGTAAATTTTACCGAAATCAGAACAGCTGAACGTTCGGTGAAACTTTGAACTTCATTTGACAGGCTATTGAACTTGATAAGAATTTCAAAACATGTTCAACCTTGTTTAAATGATCAAATCTTATCATTTTAGTGGATATTTTGTTTCAAAGTAGCTGAAAAGCAATTGAATTGAATTGCATAAATTTTACCGAATAGTTCAGCTGTTCAGATTTCGGTAAAAATAACCGAAGTCGGCGATAATTTCTAAGTGTGCAGGTCTAAAAATAAACGTAGTTGACTGTGAAAATGCTTCCGAAGTTGCTCTAACACAGTTTATAATGAAGTAATGAAATTGGGTTGTTAGCGGAATGCTAAATAAAACAGCAAAAAAGGTTATCTTCCATTTAATTCCACTTAATTAATTTTGGTATCCATGACAGATACGTATTTCGACTACAATGTGCAGTCTTCATCAGTGTCATTCCCACTAAAGATCTTATCAAAATCTAACCCCCTTAAGTACTCATCCCCTAGGTAAAAAAAAGTCAAGATCATAGGTATAAAAATGAAACTACAATGTGTTGAATCGGAACCTACCTAACTAATAAAAACCAAAGATTTAAGTAAGCTAAAGGAGAAAAATCTATACAACTATCTAATAAGGAAAATTCCCAAAGGCTTGGTAGCCATCATAATGAAGTAATGAAATTGGGTTGTTAGCGGAATGCTAAATAAAACAGCAAAAAAGGTTATCTTCCATTTAATCCATTTTTTTACAGTTTATAAGCTGAGTACAGGTTGTTTAGTTGTTGAAAAAGCACTTTTGATGTTTATGTTATTCAGCAAGAGTTGTTGGTTGTGTAGAAGCCATCAAATGAGTAATATATTCACTTTGTTAGCTTTGTTTTGCAGCTACAAGTTGAAAGTTGATTAGTGTGTGTATAGAAGTGACATTAGCTTTTATTGGCTGATGTTATTCAGTGCGACTGACAAATTGAATAATGGTTGTGAGAAAGTTGAGTAAACGCTCTCCAAAACTATTTTGCTTGTAGCTGTATCTGCAGCTTCTTTTCAGCTACTTTACAGCACAACGCTGGAAAAATTGGCTTACAAAGCTGAAAATGTTAGTTGGGAATTCATCTGGATGGACACATATTCAACGGTGGAGGAATTTTAATCGGCATCGATAGCCGTTGTTTGTCTTAGCTCCGATTGCTTGATGGAAGTTGGGCTTGTCCTAAATTTCGATGATGTTACTTTACTTTTGAAGGTTCTCTTGCTGAATAGGAGGACGTGGCGTCAGCATTTGGATTGCTACAACTCGGCTTGTTGCTATCCGCATCTGGAAATGTGAAATAATAGAAGATTCGTAAATGCTTATTTTGAAAGTTTCGCCTTCCACCTACCTGGTTCTCCTGGTTGAAACACATTTGCCATTGATTGAGGCTTAGTAGTTATCGGTATGCTTGGAATTGACGAAACAAACTCTTGGATCTTCTTTTTAAAGAAATAACATGGAATAAAGCTTGAGCTTGAGCTTGAGCTTGATTGACCGCCCACGGTTGCTACTCTGTTATTGCCAGATCAGCTGTAATTACACAGAGAACCAATAGACGATGCTTGGGACTAG